ATGTGTATTTGTCCTGCATCTTGTAAAGTTGAGAAAATATAGTTTTCACAAGTAGAAATCTGAGTAACACAATAGCCCATCCCCCACAATAAACGCGGACAGGCCAGCTTTAAGATTTGCAGTAGGCGGCTCTCGGTCTGTACAGTGGGGTAGGGTTGACAAGCCAGCGAAAGCAGGTCACATGAAGGTGCGATGAATGTAGCGTGTCATTGCTGTTTTGTGTGGTCTTACACTCATTGTCGTATCTTCCCGCAGGTCCCAGCAGCAGCGACCACAACCAACGAGCTACCGCGCCTCCAGCAGCGGGACGTTGTCGATGGTGGGGCTGAGCGCGTCGGATCTACTACCCCAGACCCTCAGAGCCGGCGAGACACTTGAGTATTACACCCGAGCCTTTGTCTGTGGAGACCCTAGAGGTCAGCGCATTGCAGTCGTCACCAGAGTGGACACCACTCCTGACGTCGATTTTCCGATCTCCGTCGACACGGAAGAGCCCATACCGTTGGATATGATGACGAAGAGGCTGTCGGACGCCTCGGGCGCCCCGGTTCCGCTGTCCGAGTCGCAGTGGCGCAAACTCCGGACCTACCAGCTCGAAGGTGGATCTGTGCCGGCCCCTTCACGCTCTAGCGTACTAAAACGAGCGCTTCAGAGTGTTGTGGGTGATGCAGTAGCAGCCGTTCATCAGGCACTACGAGATATGCGTGAGGATACTGTCCCTGAGAGCCCTCAATCGGACTTCGATAGTCCAAACACACACATTCAGCCTGGGACCGCACTTAGCAGCTCCAAATCTGATGCGATGGAGGCGCTAACGTCTGGAGCAATTGCTAGTCATGACGTGAAGGAGAATACAAGAGAGGAAGAAGGCAGAAGACCGTCTATTTTGGAGATTATCAATTTAGTTTCGTCCGAAGAAGATGACGAGCGTGGGGTTGCTGTATCTACGGAGGATCAGGCTGCTGCGTACGTGAAGGCGATCCCAACCCGGTATGTACGAGCCAAGATTCGCCACCAGCCTAAGAAGAGGCGTGCTGAGTGGCATGTGCCAAGGTCGAGGAAGCGCTGTAATCAGAAGAAGTGTGCGGTTACTAGTAGTGGCATGAACGTCTATCATGCCAGGACGTTGAAGGCGAGTCGTATGAAAGACATTCTAAGTTCACCAGAGGTAAAACGTCGCCTACAGAACCTTCATGATCGACGCAAGTCATTGCCGGAGACTCCGTCCCAGGAGGAGGAAGCGACGTCGCTGCAGCACCAAGGATTGGAGTGGCCAGATGACGTTGAGCACCTAACGAGCTGCAAAAGCAATGGCGTTCTCTTTCCAGACATCGGAAAGTTTGATAAGTGCGAGTGCGTCATTGATTGTTTCCTCGACGGTTGTAAGAACGTTTTCAGTGCTACGTTTTGCACTCCTGATTGCTGCAGCCTCGGTGCGATGTGCAGCAATGCTCCACGCACGCTCGATACATTAAAACTTTTCGATACTGGACGAGTTGGTTTAGGCGTCTTCACGACGACCTGGCTGGATATCGGTGACGTTGTTGGCGAGTATTGTGGGGAACTAAGTGAGTTTCCAGCAATTGTCGAGGGGCAGCCGGATCAAGCCACCAAGCAAAACAGCGGCTACACACTGCTGTACAATGCGAAGTCTACGAAACGAAACTACGTTTACGTAGATGCGCTCAAGTGCGGCTCTATCACCCGTTTCATAAGTCATTCCTGTGACCCCAACGCCGCCTTCGTAGAGCAGTCCAACCGTTCCAGCGTCAAGGTGCTTGTAAAGATGATTCGCGACGTCAAAGCTAGTGCAGAAATTACCGTACACTACGGGAATGAGAGGTGGTTTAAGTGTGCGTGTGATGAATGTTGGGAGAAAACCAAAGACGACGATGGAGATGACTAGCTTGCGGTTGTGGTGCATACCCTCAGGTGTATCTCGAAGTACATAATGCTAGCAGGAAGTAAACACAGTTTTAGCATGTAAAAGGAAAGAATACAAATTCTGGAGTCATGCAAACTGTACCGCTTTCGCTTACAGGACACTTACTATGTCTGCTGAAGATGTAAGATGCTGTATAAAGTGTTTAACTGCGTCGGGGCCACACACGACGCTTGAGCAAACGTCGTGTAAGTCATTCAAAGCTAAGTGCAGGTCCGATTGTGCGCGGACGGCCTACAACCGGCAGGACCGCCACTCCATAACGTCTCCGCTTCTTCCTGTTGACTAAAATGTCGCGCCCACTGCTGTCAACGTGTGTAGTAGCTCGCAGGGCGTACAGGACGTGAATGCACGTACCAAATGCGTAGCAGTAGTCGCATTGACACCACTGTCGCTCGGCATCCACGTGCCAACCACAAAACGGCTGTCCTTCGACCTCTTTGCGGGCGTAATTGACCCCCATCTGCGCGGAAACAGCTATACCTTCCTCCGTCCGTTTATTAGGCGCCACCGTGACACGAGGGGCAGGTAGCGATATGACACGAATGATATTGGGCTCTCCAGCTACTCCTCCACTCACTGCATCCACTTCTTGTCCTTCTGCTATCCCTAGGAGCTGTGCTCGTACCAACTCCGATACCCGACGCGCGAGGGTTGGTGTCGGAACCACGCCAAACTCGAATGCCTTCGTACTGGACGATTGATCTTGGCAACTGGCGCTCAACTCTCGTAGTAAAGTGCCCATTTTTAAGCGGCGACGTAGCGTATAGTCCCGCTTTATCAACGCGTTAAACGTTTCGGCTGGATTATTAGTCGTTGCGAAGCCACTGGGTGTGGCGAATATCTGCCACGTAGTGAAGAGACCAGTCAACCATTGTCCATGCATGTACTGAGCAAATTGGACCAACGCAGGTTCCTTCAGCCACCGCGTCATAATGCCACGCAGCATCTCTAAATAGGCGGCTTCACTGCGTGCAAAATGCAGGTCATATACCTCCCGAAGTACGGTGGCTGCCACACCGGAGGAAAAGCTCCGAATACGCTCTTGAACCTTCTTCATTACATGGAAGAAGCACATTAGGAAGCGGTAAGACGGATTGCCTCCAAACACCAACGCAAGGGCGTTGCACTGTGCCTTATCGCCGTCTGCCATCGCGTACTGAATGTTCTTGGTGATCCAGAAGTAGATTCGTCGCAACGAAAAGAATACAGCTTCAAATACAGACTGAGTCTCCTGTGAGACCACAAATAGAGCAACTAGGTGAAATCTGCGCGACCTGTCAGATATCCCCACCACTATAACTGGATAGTCACACTGATTCATCTTATACGTCCCGTCAACGTGTAAGATGAAGTTCTGTGGGGGCACAGTAAGTCGCAGCATTAACGCCTTCGTTGATAGACCCACAATGAAGGGTTTCTCGTCGGACCCATTGCCCACAATCGGTTTGCCACTGCTGTCTAGCTCCCATCCAAACGTGAACGTTTGCGTCATTGTCTCCAAGCCGGTGTACGCACGCGCGTGGAACCAGGCCCTGAGCTCCTGTACTCGGTCGTGATTTTCAAGGTAAGTTCGCGAGTAATTATTCACAAAGTTCTGGACAGTCTTTAAGGGAGGGAGATCCTCAAGAGGCGTCGAGAACTTTCGAGCTAGAGCGTGGCGAATACGCATAGGTCGGAGGTGCTCATCAGCGAGCTCGCGGCAGTAGATCTTCTGCGTAGTAGTGAGCTTCTTGCTCTTTGGAGAGGATACACGGGTGTTGTGAGCTCCATACAGATACGTGCGCTGTCTCCAGGCACGTAACGATTTTTCCTCGCCACTCGCAGTCTAACTCACTAGCTTCGCAGCAAAGGCCGGAGCTGCATGTAAGTAGGCGGTAACGCATCTTGTGCTCTGCGTCAATACACATGCTGCATGCCATCGTCTGACTCTTCTGGATCTCGAACGCCTTCATCGTCTCCATCACAGCGTCGGCCGCGGCAGCGTCAATGCCGACGGCCCTCTCCTCCCACGGCACACGCTTCGGCATGGCCACACTCGCCGAACAGGAGCTCTGCGAGTGACGTCCAGCAGCTTTAAACCTATGTGGGCCACATTCGCCACATATCTGCACGGCCACCGCTGATAGGCAGCGACCCAAGCTCACCTTGTCTGCGCGCTTCCTGCAGCGAGCAGAGCCGAAACCACTTATTGTGTTACTACAGCACTCTTCTGTGCTGACACATTCTGACGGTGTTTTAAGTAATTCACGGTGCCATGATGGTACTGTTTTGTGCAATTACAGCGTGCTCTGTAAAGTTCCCCTATCTGTGTGGACTGCTCATAGAACTGCTACTGTTTTTCACTTGTTCTCAATGTCGAATAACGGTAATCGTTGAACGATTCACGGTGGATCGTTGCTGGCTCAAGAACAAATCCTGATTCGCATCCCGGGACTCGTACAATGTACGGTACATGTAATTCGGACTCTCTTCGACAAATTCCTTCACAAGCCACCACATGCACCAACGCAGCGTTTAGACTTCACAGCCTTCGCGTCACCCTTTTGAGAGGACATCGACGCTCGTTCCAGTGTGACTGCTCGGATTCTTTTCTTTTTCGTCTACATTATCCTGCCGCCGCATTGCAGTCTGGTGCAACAGCTGATCACGAAGACGACCAATTGGCTACACCGCGCCTATGGCACTCAAAACTCTGGATTTTGTGCGACTTTCACCACATGCCGGCGCTGAAAACTCCAGGAGGTGTCTCTACTCAGTATTTATACTTAGAAGTTCCTGCTAGCGTGGTTTGAGGCGGGGACATACCTGTGGTATTCATACTCCTTGGTATCTCAGTGTTGGTCGCTTTTTCCGTCCGCACCTGTCGTCCGCTTGCACGATTGGCTATGGAGCGGCCCCTGAGGAGTGAGCCTGTCTCTCTCAGTTCATCTTTTAGTCTATCAGGCGCACGATCATGGCAAACGACGGCAAGATCGATGCCAAAGCCGCCCACCGCGTGTACGTGTCCAAGAAGTACGCCGCGCCTCACCGTCGCAAGGAGCTTTGCACCAGTATCATGGTGCTACCGGCTCTGGTACTGGCACTGCTCGGCCTCGTGACCTTTGATATCGTAATGGAGACCAACATCCTGGCTCGTGTGCCTGCCGCTGTCCTCTCCAGCGCCGCGGTCTGCACCCCTATAATCGTTAACTCTAGCAACATTGAATATCATTCAAGTCATAAGTACTACGACGACTTGAGGGAGATGACAGTACCCGTTCCAGTTTTCCGAGCCGAACACACTAAACTGTGCGACAAGAAGAAGAGGAAGACAGCGAAATACGAGTACTGTTTACCCATTTCAGGCCGGAAAGACACGCCGTTCTGCGCGGCGGCGGATCGGACAGATCTTCTGAGTCTACGCTCGTCTAAGTCCATCTGCTACTCTAGTGTACTGCACATGCTGCTTGTTGAGGTCTACGAAGAGCTACAGGCCAATGGGAACATCCCGTTCTTAGCGTTCGGGTCGCTACTCGGAGCCGTACGCAACGGTTCCATGATCCCGTTTACAGAAGATGTCGACATTGGGTTTGTGGGCGAGATGGCGTCGGCCGATGCCCTGAAGCTCGCACTAAGGAGGAAAGGCTATCACATGTTCTTCATGGGCATTTGGCGCGTGTGTGTGGCGCCAACGCACCCGTTGGCAGGGTATCTATACGACCCGAACTTGCCGGTCACCAACACGTACGAGGTGCCGTACGTGGATCTGTACATGATGAAGCAGCTGGACGACGGCGACTGGGACCTGGAGGAACTCGACGGTAGCAACGGAAGCATTCTCCCTTACAACAAGGTGCAGCCGTTCTCACAGGTAACGATCAATGGGATGCCGTTCGACACGGTTAAAGACCCTCATTTCTTCTTGACGGAGGCGTATGGCGACGACTACATGACGCCGAAGCCTAGAGTGGAATAAACGACTCGTGTTTACCAGATTATAGCGCATAGAAATGAATAGCAAACGTAAGATACGTTCACCGCCTTGAAGTACGACAAGAGAGCTTTTGTACCTTATAGTGTACCATGAGTATCATGATGAGACGGCACTCACAATCGGACAGGCATCGTGTTGTCGCCTGTTTTTTTTTAGTTTTCCTCTTGCTCGGCGTGGGATACGGCGTCTAATGGACAAGAAGCTCGAAGACGAGGTCAAGGGTAAACAAACACGCCGGGTGAACGCTCAATGGAGACTTGCGCGCGTATTTAACGACCTCAAAACCAGCGCGACGGCGACGCCGGTCTTGGTGTTGGTGGTGATTGGACTGCTGGTTTTCGTACAAACACTCGTCAATTACACGCCAAGCGTCTCCACACTGCGCGGACACGCCTGTAGTCCTGCAGTTCTAGACGCGAATAGCATCCAATACCACTCGGACCACAGGTACTACGCTGGACTGCGGGATATCGGAGCTGTACCCCCGCCTCAGATGACATCAGAGCATTACAAACTGTGCAGCAAAATGAGTCGCCTTCAAGCCAAATACGAATACTGTCTACCAATCTCCGGTCGAAAGGACACGCCGTTGTGTACTGCAGCCGACAGAATGGACTTGCTGAATGTACAGACCACGACAATATGCTACGCCAGTGTACTGCACATGCTACTGTTGGAAGTGTACGAAGAGCTTCAAGCCACGAGAAACACGCCGTTCCTCGCGTTCGGCTCACTATTAGGCGCTGTACGGAACCAGTCCATCATTCCATTCACAGAAGACGTCGATATCGGCTATGTGGGTGACATAGTCGCAGCCGAGAAGGTCAAGCTCGCTCTACGGAAGAAAGGTTACCACATGTTCTTTCTGGATATTTGGCGCGTATGTGTGGCGCCGACTCATCCGCTGGCTGGGCGTCTGTACGACCCGAATGTTCCGATTTCTGAGAGCTTCGCCGTGCCGTATGTGGACCTATACAAGATGACACAGACGGTAAGCGGAGACTGGGATATGCAGGAGCTGCAAGGCAGCAACGGACGGATTCTTCCCTATAAGAAGGTGTGGCCGTTCTCGCAAGCCACAGTCAATGGGATGACGTTCGAGACGGTGCGGGACCCGCATTTCTTCTTAACGGAGGCCTACGGATCGGATTACTTGACGCCGAAGCCGCGAAATGAATCGGCAGAATCGCTAGAGCCTCGAGCTCCCATGTATCCATAGAATTCCAGGTACCAGGCTTATTACAATACAGAAACGTCTGAGTGGTTTTACGAAGCAAAAGTTATAGCTGCAGTACTTTGCCGGATTGCATCTCTCCCATTGATTGTGGAGCAAAACCGCATGACGAGCCTACAAAGAATAGCTTGAACGAAAAGGTAAAAAAAACTATTTACTTACATGTATTACCGTAGTTGTCCATTTGCTGGCTCGCGGTACGATGAGTGAGGGGAAAAACATTGTTCTAAACAATTTTTTAAAAAATTAGGTCTACATGTTTTTAGAAATAACTCTGTATTGTATCTATAATTTTAGGGGCCACCAGCACAATTAGCTTGCCAAGCTACTTGAAAAAAACGGTGCTGCATTCGAGTTGACAACAATACTTTGGTAGAGAAAGGAATAATAATTATAATTGAGGTTGAAAAAAACTAACGTTACTAAATATATATTTTACAGCTGTAGTCCGCAATGATTCATTTCTATATCGGAAGATCAACTCGTACTTAATTAAGTGGTAAGCATTAAATGTATTTTACTCGTCTGAACGGGGACAAGCTACCAGCTCCGAGTATACATTGCTCTCCCTACGTGTACTGTAGACGGACGGCTTTCCCAATTTTTCTTTGACCATTTATTGAGCTGCTAAGCTCTAAGTATAATACTGGGGTATGAAGCACTTTATTGCTGTAGGGGGCTCAAGTTCAGCATCAAATATATGGATTAGCTTAATGGTTGGCGTGATTTTGGATTCGGAACAATATGCTTCGAAGTACTCTTTGCAGAGGGTCCTTGATAAGTGGGAAGAAGCCCGGTAGTCGTTCGGATTACGGGTGGTAACAAGTCACAAGCATGTTTACGGTGGTGCCCTCCGCAAACATTTTTTTTTCTACTTGGTCTCTTTTACAGATCAATGATCAAAGACCTGAGATCGTACGGTACTGTCCTAAGTAATCAATCTATACATGAAGGATGCAGTCAAACGCTAATAAAGGATTAAAAATCCTGCCAATTATCAATACCTAGTTCAATACAGATTTACATGTAAAAACATTTAAATCTATCTTAGGCTGTTTTCATTTATACGAAATTGCTCTTAACTCATACATTATTGTCTTCTAAGTGAACGAAGACTCAGTCTTGATTTCAGTCAGATCGACCCTCTTTAAGGAGCTTGAGTTACCTTTCACAAATAGCAACCTCCGCACAACTTTTGCTATGAGATAGAGAAACACTTTATCGTTAAAGCGACTGTTTGTGAGGCACCCATTCCGTATAAATTGCAGCTGACGATACCGGACGCGTGGTGCGTTCGTAAACAAAAGGGTTAGCATACATAAACAAAACGTCGGGCAGCGACTCACGGTCCGTGAGTCACTGAAAGTAGGTACAGGATACATGGAATAGCTGCGGATGTCCTCTTGATCTAATCCGTACTTAACGTTATTCAAGTTACCACGCTCTATAGCATCTATTAGTGATCCATTTGGAGTTGATTTGTGCCAATGACACACAATTACGAATTGTTCTTATTGCTTATAATAGGAATTGTGCAATAAATTTCAAGGTGATGTCATCGGCTGTGGCTTCATTCAGGAATTGCAGGATAAAGTCTTTACTGTATTAAAATTTAGTGCGGTCGGTGTTTGAGGTACCGCTGCATCGCAGTAGTAAAAGTATGAGCCAGTCCGTCCGGGTTTGCTTCCCTGTGTTTGTCTGCTTGTTTCATTCTTCTTTTTACCGCTCAAGTCAAGGAAGCCCATTGCTTTATTCCAAGAATCATGACCAGGAGACTCGACATCGACGCAGTGGCTGCAGCCAGCGTGGGGGCATCTCATCGTATTGACGTCCTTCGGGTGTTCGTTGAGTGTAAATTTTTCAGGACTGGATCCACTGTGACTCTAAGCTTCATCCTAGTGCTACTTGGGTTGGTGCTCTTTGGTCTTGCCGTGGATACGCAACTCATAGATGCCACCCCTAAAGTTGCCATTATCAAGGAAGTAGTATGCTCTCCGAGGATTCACAACACCAGCGACATCGAGTACCACTCAGGACATCGATACTACGCTGCACTTAATGACATGGATATCTTACCACCAGTTTTTCGCAACACACACAGCGTTGTGCAACGAAGACGCTCGCTTTAAAGCGGGATTCAACTTCTGCTTACCGATTTCTGGACGGAAAGACACACCGTTTTGTCTCGCTGCGGACCGTAGCGACTTGCTTCATACCCGCTCACACAAGTCAATCTGTTACGCTAGTGCGCTGCACATGTTGTTGGTCGAGGTCTATGAAGAGCTACAGGCGACCGGGAATACTCCTCTGATCATCTTTGGCTCCTTATTAGGAGCTGTACGGAATGGCTCGATGATCCCGTTCACGGAAGACACGGATATCGGGTTTGTTGAGAGGCTTAACGCACAAGAAGCAGTGAAGGAGGAGCTCTGGAGAAAGGGCTATCACATGTTCTTTAAAGGGGTTTGGAGGGTGTGTGTAGCTCCAACACATCCACTTGCAAGTCACTTATACGACCCGAATCGACCACTTACCGGGTATATGGGCGTGCCCTACGTGGATCTATACCGGATGAAGGATCTCCATAACGGTAATTGGGACGTCGAGGAGCTCAATAGTAAGTATGGTCGACTTCTACCGAGACAGAACGTGGAGCCGTTCTTACAGATAACGATCAATGGGATGCCGTTCGATACGGTTAATGACCCACTTTTCTTTTTGAGACGGGCGTACGGACAGAATTACATGACTCCAAGGCGGCGAGGATCCGCTTTCGTGAAGCCCAGCGCGTCGACGGCGACAAAAAAGCAGTAATACGAGCGCAAGTTGAGACAGGGAAATTATGTAATGTTTTTTTTCAGTAACACTGCTACTAACAGCGAGCTATTACCGTCTTCTCAATTTTATCCACTAGTAAAGTACTGGCCGCCCCGTTCGAACAAACCTCACTGACTTTGCTATTTTTTGTTTTCAGTAAGATACTGTTCGGGTCAGGAGACAGGCAATAAACCTTCAGTCCACCGTAACTTTTGACAACCTTCGCTCAACTTGCTGAGCGTCTGACAATTAATGCCACAATCGCTTAATGAAAGTATATGAGAATGCTTCATGTTTTAGCTTAATGGTTAAATCTTAGATGTAATGCTAGTCTATGCATTTTTCCTAGGATGATTAATCTTGGCGAGCCACTCGCTGGAGCTGGGTAGAGCAACTTGCTGGTGCTTGCAGTCAATACGAATGGGTTAGTAATTATTTCCCCTCCCAGTGTCGGCTGCGGTCATTAACATACTTAGAGAACATTACTAGCAATGACAGCTTCACTGGTATATAAGACCCTGTACAAATGTGTAGTTTAACTTCTTAAAAGGGTTGCTTTAATCGAAAGAAAATGAAACCAGTTTTAAGGCTCGAAAAAAAACGATGCCCTCCGACTAACGCATCACCTTTACTGTAGTATGCTTCACCCGTAGAAGCAATAAGAGCTTTGAATGCCTACGACAGTCTTTTGTCGTTGGTAATTTCAACAATAAATAAGTGTACTTAATTCTGAAGTAAGTACCGCACCTCACAAAATAAATGCTTAGCAGAAAAATTGCAGCTCGACGATTTTCACGTGTTTTTGTTTGCTACAAATAATCAAAACAAGATAGCAGATTTTGTTTCATCAAACTAACACATAATTTTAGCTTGAGCATGAATGTTTAGATAAATGAAATTTGTCGTGCGCTAAACAGTCGAGAAGTGTTGATAATCGCTCACTCAAATCTGGGACTGTGTGATTGCAAGCTTTTAGCACTTAGCCAGGAGCTGTTACTGCAGCTACATCCCAGATAGATATTTGATTGTGAAGGTAGTTTTCACCGTGTATACAAGATTGTAAATTTACGGCTAGAGCGCTACAAATGATATGGCAGTGTGTGCTACTCTTGCGTTTGATGATGAGATGCGACTGGCAAAGCGAGCTAAGAAGGCCCGACTAGCAGCGCCTGATGCATGTTGCTGAAGGCATATCATCGTAAGATGAAATCTGCCGAGCGTATTACTTAACCGCTTGTCTCCTGTACACACAGGTCTTTCTTTCTCACCCCTGCTTAGGTTAGACTAGTTTCACTGTAAGGCGTTAGCTAAAAGATTTAACTCACAAAACAGCGCTATGAGGAGATGCTGATACAGACAATCCTCTTTGGAGTGGTATCCCAGCTAGTGATATCCTTTAATTAAGGAGGTTGCCCATTGGCCTTCAGCTTTTACTACCTCTAACCTCCAGATTGTACTTAGCGATACAAATCGACGAGTGTTACTTTATCGTGGTCATTAACTAAATAGCGTGTCTGTTTGGCAACAAGTCCAGCAAATACATTTCTATTTCCGGCTCCGTTTGTACCCAATTCAGTGGCTTCAACAAGACTATCTTCTCTTCTGGAGTGTTTAGCCGTTCTTAAACCGTACTAAGTAAGCCGGACATCATCACAGCACGCTCACCGATGATGGTGTCCTACTCTTCAGGACTCCATTTTCACAACTTTGGTAGTCCAGTAGCTCACAGAGACGGGTGCGGGTTTGTGTACAATTCCATAACTCTACGCCCCAGATAGGGGCTTGGCGTATGCTAGCGCAGTACCCCTTTATAGTTTCATCCAGTAATGCAGTATTACAAGGTGTAATAGTACAGAACTGGATAGTGATTCCTCCGTTTAGCGATAAAAAGTGGGTATCACTACGAACTTTGACGATTGTATGTACGCGTTTCTATTCATTTGCGAAGCGCCCCATGCAAATTGCACGAAGAATTCATCTGAAACGATTGCATTTTGAGGTTTGATCTTACTCTTTGTATGCTGATATGTTGGAATTCTTCATTCATTCTGCATGAAGAATGTCATACAAATCACCTAAGTTGCACGGTAGAAGTACGCCCGACAATTTATCTATTTGAACGGCACGAAAGCGTATTTTAAGACGTTTTACTGCAGAACTAACCTCTTTTCAGTCACCACCGGAAATTCATTTTTAAACCTTAACTTAAAGTTTAGGCTTTACTTGTATTAGCAGCAAAACAAAATTTCCTGGCAATAGGCAACTATCATCGGGTTGTGCGCAACAAATATTCCGTATAAAACCATTTCACAACTAAAACTTGGAAGAAACTACATGTACTTAAGTATACCTTAGTTTTGAATATACATATTGTTCTTAAGTTAGCTGACAGATCGAGTCGAAGTACAAAGGGTTAAGCCTATGCCAAACCCGAGCAGGTGCAGAACTTAAACTCGAGCACATCACCGTCATCACTAAAATGAGCTCCTTGGAGCTATAGCTTTGAATATTCATTCTGACATCTCTAATTTAATCGAGAATATCATTTTTGAGAGCACAAATCTTAATTACTGTTGTACAGTACATATGAGACCACCCCAAACAAAAATGATACCTACGAACCTAAGTACAAATCGCAACTCAAGCACTCTAAACGAAAGCGGGGCGTCTCCTCTATCTCTCGAGCCATTATAAGCTACAGAATGCTTAAAACTGAAGAAGTTGTGGTCGCTCAAAATATTATCTCCATTGATGGCCCCTCGAAATGACGATACATTTAGGAGTGTTGTGAGCTCAATACTTTTTCAATTATAAAGATTCAAGTGATATTTAAAAGCCCTTGCTAAAAGCAATTGAAAAGGGTAGTTTTACAGGTTTTTCGATGGAAGTTTACAATAAATGCCAATGTTTCGGTTAAGTGCGAAAATCAACTGTCGATTATCTAAATGGTCCGTAAGTATCATTTTGTTCGCAGTCTCATATGCTTTTGACCAATGATCATTTGTATTTTGCTGCCAAATCTAGCACAAAAAGAGCCAAAAGCACTTATATTTTGTGAGGTACGGTAGCATGCACACCGTTAAGTAGTGGTGACTCAAGCATACCTATCCCAGCTTCGCGTCGGCCTATTGCACTCCGACTAAATACAGCAAGTCGGCCCAATAACCCTTCACAAATCGAGATGGCATTCTGCAAACGCATGCTATTAATAACGTTATGTATAATACAAGTACTGTAGTTTAGACGTGAGAGGCAATAATGATAAAGCAAAAACGCTGGAGCAAATCTAAGCAGGGTTGCCATGAGCTGAAAAGTTGTGATGCACCAACTGGTGGAAGGAACCAGAGTCCGATCGTCGCGATCAATCACGTGACCTGCAGCTCGCGGATATATACTGCAATTGCCGCTACAGAAGGTAGCAAGTTAACCATGAACACCACGGGTGGGTTACTTTAGTACGTGCGCTTGAATGCCGATCGGGCCCAAAATTCAACTTGAGGAGAGGAAAAGAGTGCACAAACGCACAATACAGCTGCGAGTCGCATTGGGTGGATAGAAAGCTACAGTATCATATTAAAGAGCTAACCTTTTCTGAGACGCACCGAAATCGCAAATCAACAGAAAAAACGGCACCGTCTCAAGGGGGTTGCTGAAACTTACGCAATCTCTCACTCTTTTTCCTACTCCGTTTGTGAAAGGTACACACAACAGCTATCAAAATGGAGAAGAATGTTGAGGAAGGCGTCGAAATCGACAAGCACCATCCTCCTCGTCGTGTTGGCGTTACTCGTGGTTGCCGAGACTTTTGGACGGGAGTGACAGTCATCCCGACGTTCGTACTTGTCTAACTTGAATTACTCGTGTTTGGTCTCGTTATGGAGACGCACATTATCTCGTGTACGCCACAAGTTGCCGTTTTAAACGGGGAAGAAGTCTGTTCTCCTCACGTCCTGAATGTTAGCAACATCGAGTACCATTTTGGTCACCGGTACTACTCGGCGCTAAAAGAGATGGATCCGCCCGTAGCCCCAACATTTCGAGGGAAACACACTGCGCTGTGCGACGAAGGAGTGAGGACCAAGGCGAAATACAGCTACTGCTTGCCGATCTCCGGTCGGACAGACACGCCGTTCTGTACGGCTGGAGATCGAACTGATCTGCTCAATATTCGGTCTTCAAAGTCCGTTTGCCACTCGAGCGTACTGCACATGTTGATGGTCGAAGTCTACGAAGAGCCTAAGGCATCGGGGAACATCCCACTGATCTCCTTCGGCTCGTTACTTGGAGCTGTACGCAACGGGTCGATGATTCCATTCACGGAAGACGCAGACATTGGCTTCGCCAATCAACTCAACGCAAAAGATGTATTGATCCACGAGCTGTGGCAGAAGGGGTATCACATGTTCTTCCTGGACATTTGGCGCGTGTGCGTGGCTCCAAATCACCCGCTTGCATCTCGATTGTATGACCCAAACTTGCCACTAACCAGGAACTATGCCGTACCGTACGTCGATCTATATTTGATGAGGAAGCTCAGCAATGGATACTGGGATTTCCAAGAGCTTCAAGGAGTTAATGGTCGAATGATACCCGTCGATAAGGTCGAACCATTTACACAGGTAACAATTAACGGAATGCCGTTCGACACAGTTCATGACCCTGATTTCTTTCTAAAGGAGGCGTACGGATCAGACTACATGACACCCAAGCAACGACCACCTCCTGCACAAGTAGTCGCTAACAAGCTCAAAGACGCAGTCAAGAGACTCACCAAGGGCGCAGCACCATGAACCCGTCGAGTAAGGTACCACTAATAAATTTGGTACATGTATAAGACTTACAGTAACCATTTTGAGCTCCACAAACACAGAACAATTCATACATATATTGCTACACATAGTACTATTAAGATAATACTACATGTATTATAAGAAACTACAAGGTAGAATTTGAAATATAATACATGAAGTTTACCGGTATCTCCTGTATTGTCAGTACATGAGTTTTTTTATAACGCCACAAAAAATCTGGGACGAGCATCGACCATATGGATACACGTCTCTGGCACACGTGAACACGACACGACCCCGCATCCATTCGTCCCATCGTCTCATTTTCTCTTTGGCATTTGGCTGCGCAAGTCTCGTCAAGCCTAGCGGAGATCGCGGAGCTGTCAATGGAGCAGAAGATCGAGGAAGACGTCGACGCTACCAAGCGTACGCCACCACGTCGCGTGGGGGCTGTTCGAAGAGCTTTTCTAAGCTGTCGAGGCTTCTGGACAGGCGTGACAGTCGTTCCGACGTTTGTGGTGGTGCTGGTCGGGTTGGTGCTCTTCGGGTTTGCCATGGAAGCGCATATTCTAGCGTGTATGCCGGAATTCTCCGTCTTTAATGGGAAAGGAGTCTGTGTTCCACGAGTCTTGAACGTCAGTGGGATCGAGTACCACTCGGGTCATCGGTTTTACTCGGTATTGAAAGAAATGGGTCAACCCAAGACGCTAAAGTTTCGCGGAGAGCATACAAAGCTCTGTCAGGAAAGCTTGAGGACCAAAATGAAGTATGGGTACTGTTTACCGATATCAGGAAGGAAGGACACGCCATTCTGTCTCGCAGGTGACCGAACGGACCTGTTGACGACTGGCTCGCCCAAGTCGGTTTGTTACGCGAGTGTACTGCATATGTTACTGGTAGATGTGTACGAGGAGCTGAAAGCTACGGGTAACACTCCACTAATCACGTTTGGGTCGCTGCTCGGAGCCGTACGCAATGGTTCTATGATCCCGTTCACAGAGGACACAGACATTGGCTATGTGCAGCGACTTCACGACATCCAACCGCTGAGGAAAGCGCTTTGGGACAAAGGGTATCACATGTTTTACTTAAATATCTGGCGCGTATGCGTGGCGCCGACGCATCCGCTGGCTTCGAAACTTTATGATTCGAGCTTGCCGCTGACTCAGAGCTACGATGTACCATACGTCGACTTGTACCGAATGAAGAAAGCCAAGACTGGGAACTGGGAAATCCAGGAGATGGACGGGAGCAACGGACGTTTCTTTCCCGGCCACATGGTGGAACCGTTCTCGCAGGTTACGATCAATGGAATGCCCTTTGATACAGTACACGACCCACACTTCTTTTTGAAAGAAGCATACGGACCGGACTACATGACTCCACAGCAACGAACCGAGGAGCCAGAGATTAGAAATAGTACAAGCAACAGCACGATCAACATAATAGGAGAGAAGAAATAAATAGTATAAGTTCATGTAGCTATGACGTTACTTCTTCAGAAGTACTAAAGAGTCAGGAGTGACATGCTGGCGTAAACACAGCATAACACAACGCGTGTCAGCGATAAACTTGCAGCGTGCCATCCTATCACTAGACCCGGTCTAGTAGACCGTAGACCTCTACAGTCCCAGTACCTAGTATGACTAACAACGAGCCCACTACCAATAATCTCGAGATCTGACCCCTTGCTCGCTCATCCCTATCGACACGATCACGGTCTCTGAATTCCAGTCGGGCCATCCACTTGGCCGTGACCTCATCATGTTGACCGCCATTTGTCTGTTCGGTCTCATTCTCCCTCTCGCACTCTGCTGTTCACATCACGAACGTCCGTCCAGTGCTTCATTTCAATAGAAATCATGGCCAGGAGACTCGACCACAGCGTCGATGAAGTCAAGGGTAGAGCACCTCATCAAATTGGCTTCCTTCGGATACTCTTAGGGCGCAAGCCCCTGTGGACGGGGATGACACTGACGTTAAGCTTTATCCTAGTGCTTGTCGGCTTACTGGTGTTTGGCTTTGCGATGGACACGCAGCTCATAGATGCCACCCCTGAAGTTGCGATAATCAAAGAAGAAGTGTGCTCTCCTAGAGCTCACAACGCCAGCGACATCGAGTACCACTCAGGACATCGATACTACGCTGCACTTAAGGACATGGATCTCTCACCGCCAGTATTCCGCAATACACACACAACGCTGTGCAACGAAGACGCTCGCTTTAAAGCGGGATTCAACTTCTGCTTACCAATTTCTGGACGGAAAGACACACCGTTTTGTCTCGCTGCGGACCGTAGCGACTTACTTCATACCCGCTCACACAAGTCAATCTGTTACGCTAGTGTGTTGCACATGTTGTTGGTCGAGGTCTATGAAGAGCTACAGGCGACCGGGAATACTCCTCTGATCATCTTTGGCTCCTTATTAGGAGCTGTACGGAATGGCTCGATGATCCCGTTCACTGAAGACACGGATATCGGGTTTGTTGAGAGACTTAACGCACAAGAAGCAGTGAAGGAGGAGCTCTGGAGAAAGGGCTATCACATGTTCTTTAAAGGGGTTTGGAGGGTGTGTGTAGCACCAACACATCCACTTGCAAGTCATTTATACGACCCGAATCGACTACTGTCCCGATATATCGACGTGCCGTACGTGGATTTATATCGGATGAAGGATCTCCATAACGGTAACTGGGACGTTGTAGTAGGTCACACTGAAAAAACGCGAACACAGTCGGGGGCAGCTGGCACTTCCGTAAGTCTCTTGCCGATTGTATTGCGCTTGCCGGCTTTGATGTAAAACCAAAAGTGAACTATATAGACATGCACGCCGACAAACCGCTCTACCTAACTATCACTAGCGTCCTAGTGACAGCGTCCTGCAAGGCAACGTCCTGGTGGCTCTCTGCCACGATGTATACCAGCCCGAGCTAACAAACATGTGTAGTAGATAATCTTCAAGTGCGTGACCTCATCTCATGGGCCACAGCACTTGATGTGCACTTTACTGCGTGCTGTGCCATTACATAGTAGCTAACTATCAACACATGTTGCCATAGCTCAACTACAGAGCTTCACTCACTGTATTGCGTGGTCGTGGTTGGGCTTTCATGCCACCACTCACTACAGTCCCCCTTTAAGCCCAATTCGACCACTCAGCCTTTTGCTTGTGCATATTGTATTACAAATAACTCACTACTCAGTGATATTTCAACTCATCGTGACTAATCACTCGACTAATCATTTGGTCCACGCTATGTGACCAACTTCAACGTGTTGCAGTTGAAGCATGTAATTCCAACAGATAATGACCAAGACAACCACAGTATCAAGGAAAAACCTTAATTTAGTGAAAGTATAGCCATTATACTGAGGGGTATACACGTATACACATTAGCTTCAGCGTCGCTTTCCTGACGCTTCTAGCGCTTTGAGGTGACGCTCAAGATTAGTGTCTTTGACTGCAGCAACGTACTGTTGCACTAACGTACTCACGTCTTTGTGCAGTGCTGCTAGAGGCTCCCATGAGTCCTCTATTGCCTCCAACCCATGCCACGCTACAAGGATCTCGTAGGCTCGGCTCGTGTTGTTCCACCGATGCCGAAGTAGCTCGCGCACGCGAAGGATGATACCCTGAGCAGCCACGTGCTCCAGGAGCTCCTCAGTCACCTCGAGGTCCTTGTCAGCGAAAAACTTGAGCCGCGAGGCATGCACGTCAAGCTCTACGCCAGTAACGAGGTGCTTCACCTTGAAAACGTTCTGCTGTTGTGCTTCAGTGACAGCGTAGGGTCCAATCCATGTGACGAGTAGCTTGTTCTGTCCTTTCTCGTCCACACGTGATCGTAGTACATAATCGCCTACGTTGAAGTTGACCACGTTATCACCTCGCGCCTTTTTCTCGTTCAGTAGTGTCTGCTTGAGGCGGGCATCTGCAACCGCCCTGTGCATGTCTCTGACACTAGCCCGTAGTAGAGCCAGACTAGACTCGATCTCTGCCGAGGTTCGAGTCGGTTGTACACTGGGAGCCACCTCTGGTCCCAAGTATACAGCCTTCAGAGGCGAAGGGGGATCCAGTCCGGTGAACAACTCACCCGGTGTCTTTCCTGCCAACGACGGTACGACAGTGTGGCTGAGATTTGCTTGAACTATAGGATTGAGCCTTGGCCAGTCCCTGTAGTTGTGTTTGTAGTCTAGGATAAGTACTCGCAGAACTTGCAGGATATCTCGATTCACCCGTTCCACAGATCCGTTAATCCATGGACTGTAGGTCGGCGAAAAGATTTGCTTGCACTTCAACCTATTGCACAGCTCGTCGATCACTTCATTCTTGAAGTGAGTCCGTTGGTCACTAATCCAGTCTTTAGGCACTCCAAATCTGCTGTGCCAATCCATGATCGCATCAGCTGCCACTGTACTTGTTGGGGTCTCACAATTCACAAGCTCGCAGTAGTGACTAGCATCGGCTTTGAGCACCAGTAGATACTGCAGGTCATCGTAGGTTTCAACTAGGTAGAGAAAGTCCCAGTGTAGCGCTTGATTTCACTCACTACATCGGTAGGTCTCACTCCAGGGCCTTGGTACCACCTTCCCCCCTTTTACATGATGGCACAGGAGGCAGCTTGCCAGAAACCAGTCCACGCATTGTCGAAGTGAAGGCACGTAAAAAACTTGGCCTAGGTGTGCCAGCATAGCATCCCGGCCTCGATGTCCCTGAGGGCCGCAGTGTGCGATGATGCACAAGCGGCGGAGCAGATTTGTGGCTTCCGCTGGAATGTACAGTCGATTGTCCTTGCGTCGAATCCCGTCATCACCTTCCTGCAGGCGCTGCATCTCAGACTTGTCCCCGAGTTTGCGCTGGGCATCTGAAATAGAATCTAGGTCGGGCCATACAAAGCCTTCGTCGTCGAGTGGCCGCAGTGATAGACGATTATGTTGCTGTTGTCCGCGGGTTTGAACTTTGCGTATACTAAGGGAGCTTGGTGGTCGAGCCCATCGAGTTACCATATCAGCCCATACGTTGTCCTTGCCTGCGATGTGGAAGATATCGTAGCGAAATCACCAAGACGCATTGCCCACCTCAGTAACTTGCCACGGATATGTATTTTCACTGTGTCGCTCGGAGCAAACACGTGTATAAGATTTTTGTGGTCACAATATAGTCGAAAACCACGCGGGCGGAGAAGGAGGTGTGGCAGCTTGTCGCATGCTGCTACAATGGCGAAAACCTCCTTCTCAATTACGCTCCTGTTAGCTTGTGATCCTGTAAATGTACCACTCAGACAGTGAAGAAGTCGATGATTTTGCTCCCAAACAGGTTGATATCCTCTCCATGTCTCCACATCAGTCACTATCACACTCCACGCTTCGTCGGAAGCATCGGTGAACACTGAAAGTACTCCGTCTGGACTTGGATGTGCCAACATTGCAGGCACTCTTTGACTTTATCAAAAGCAGTCGTTTTTTCCTTAGTAAAACTGACGGGTAGTCGAGCTGCAACCCGCTTAGTCCGTTTCCATTTCCCAGAGTCAAGTCAAGGCGCGTCTGCAAAGCTTTAACATTGCCTGCATAGTCTAAAAGACTGTCGCGCATCCAATTACACGCGCACAGGAACTGCTGCAAATCTCCAGCAGTAGACGGTTACGGCATGGCACGCAATGCTGCGATTCGCTCAGGGTCATGGCGAACGCCTTCGCCGTCAATAATCTTGCCGCACCACTTTACAGAGCGCTGGAAAAGAGAGGACTTGGTTGCGCTCAGATTAAGTCCGAACTCATTCATCAGCGAGAACAGCTCGCCAAGCTTCTCCAAATACGTATCTACGTCATCTGCATACAGTAATAGATCGTCAATCCATACAAGCAAGTGCTTGTAAAGCAGTTTAGCGAAACAGTGTTCCATTGTCCTTTGAAAATGCAGGGCTGCGTCACTACAACCTTGCGAAACGCGCGTAGGTGTGTAGACTTTGGCATCCGTCATATAGCTCAGGATCTCTTGGCTTGCTTTGGCGAGAGGCAACTACCAAAAGCCCTTGATAAAGTCGAAAAGACCAAAGAAAAAGATTCCACGCACGTGCTCAGTTATCACTTGAAGAATTGGCATGACACCCGCAATTGGCTCCATTTCCGCATTAACGGGTCGATAGTCACTGGTCTGGCGAAACTCGTCATTGCCTGGCTTCTTGATCGGTAGAGCAGGGCACGTTCACCGACTTAAGACGTTCTCGAATACTCATCCGAGACGGACCAACTCATCGTTAAACTCCTGCAGAAATTTCCGTATGTGCGGCGGGTACACTCTCGGTTTACACCGAAATGGTGTAGCACCCTTCTTCAGTCGAATTTCCAATGGCGGGACCTTCGCAGGTGGGTCTAATCCAAGTCGGATCCTCCATACATCGTACATATACACAATAGTTCGTAGTTTGTCCTCTTTGTCTACTGGAAAGCCGTTCTCAATCGCTGTCACGATCATGCCTTCAACAGCTTGGCGAACCTCCTCATCAGGTGTACAACCCACTTCGAAAGCGTCTTCAACTGGTATTGGGTCGTCATCATCCGATGATGTCTTCTCAGCCAACTGCTCCAACTGCCGATCAATACTGATGCCAAGATCAGTGAGTATATCTTCGCCCAGAATAAATTCTTCTTCATCTTTATCAATCACTAACACTTCATACGGCTTGACTGGTCTTACAGCCCCAGCAGCTGTGTGCAGCATTATCCGTAGTAGAACGGAGCGACTCGCCAGAATCTTGTGTTTTCCGACTGTCTCACAGATAATAGGCGACGTCAACGTGGTGGTTTTCGCAAAACTTCCTAATTCCTTCAGTTCAATCAGCTTCCGAGCACTGATGATGCTCTTTTCTGCCCCAGTATCGGCGCAGTAGGGCATGGACAGTCTCTCTTCAAGGACGACAGTCTTATCGTGCCTTGAGAGACAGTCCTTTATGCGCTTTAGTCTTCACGCATCGTTATTAGCACGCTTGCTATCGCGGCGCTCATGCATCTTGCGAAGGAGCACTTTCTTCTCGTCACTGCTCGCAGTCGGGCAGTGAACAAGCCAATGGTCGCCTTTACACTTAAGACAGCCGCCGGTTGGAGGAGTGTCATCTCTTTTCACAGCACTCTTTTTCTGGCCTTGCTTGTTGCTCGCACTGATGTCCTTTCTAATTGGTTTACCGCCATGCTCGACCTTACGGTACTTAGCAGGAGGCTGGTTGGTATTACTTTGCGTCTGTCTCTCCTTGCGCGTCGACTCACTTGGGTCTCGGCCACGTGAACGCTTGCGGCGCTGGAAGTCACGGTCCTGTTCAAATGCCTTTTCAAGTATCAGCTTGAACAGCTCCTTTTCATCTTCGTTCGCTGTCCGAGCTTGGTACTTAACAACGGCTGACACCTCTTCACGAAGACTGCAAGGTTCAAGTGCTTCAATCAATAGCTTGCATTTAAGCCTCACACCTTCATTTCCAGTAAAAAAGGCTTGTTAACCTTGTTCATCGATGAATTCACGGCTTCGGACGAAAAATTGCATCACTCTCTCTTTCACGTCACTTTCCTTTATGTCCATGACGACATTTTCCTTAAAAAGGGCGGCGACGTCTGGAACAGCGTTATTTTTTACTGACGCAATGATCTCGTCAATCTTCGCCAGGATGAAATCGTCGGTGACGTTAGCAACGTCGACGTCCCACTCAAAGTCGCACCATGCAGCTAGAAGACGCTTATCAAACGACTTCTTTACACTGACGAGAACTTCCGCCATCTTGGTCGGGTATTTCTTGCAGCGCATGGCCACTTCGTCGTCGTACTCACTGCGTAGCTTGCGCCACTGGACGAGAGCTGCATGCGAGGTGCTCTTAAGCTGAGGCGCTGCGAGGGGCATGAACAGTGTCATCGGCACTGTAGACGAATCTCCCGCTGTGGTGCTAGCTGGTGCATCGGTCGTCAGGTTGCTCCTCGTAGATCTTGTCATCTTGACCTTGATCACACTAAAGAATTCCTTGTAGTAGGTCACACTGAAAAAACGCGAACACAGTCGGGGGAAGCTGGCGCTTCCGTAAATCTCTTGCCAATTGTATTGCGCTTGCCGGCTTTGATGTAAAACCAAAAGTGAACTATAAAGACATGCACGCCGACAAACCGCTCTACCTAACTATCACTAGCGTCCTAGTGACAGCGTCCTGCAAGGCAACGTCCTGGTGGCTCTCTGCCACGATGTATACCAGCCCGAGCTAACAAACATGTGTAGTAGATAATCTTCAAGTGCGTGACCTCATCTCATGGGCCACAGCACTTGATGTGCACTTTACTGCGTGCTGTGCCATTACATAGTAGCTAACTATCAACACATGTTGCCATAGCTCAACTACAGAGCTTCACTCACTGTATTGCGTGGTCGTGATTGGGCTTTCATGCCACCACCCACTACAGACGTCGAGGAGCTGAAAAGTAGTAATGGACAGCTGTTGCCTAAAGACAAAGTGGAACCTTTCTCCCAGGTGACGATCAACGGGATGCCGTTCGACACAGTAAAGGACCCACATTTCTTCTTAACACGGGTGTATGGACCGCGTTACATGACCTTAAGGCCGCGGAGATCGTCGATGTCAATGAATGTCTCGATGAATGTATCTGCTAAGACGAAGGCAATGCTGAAACTTGTCGATAAAGATAAATTGCGGGGCGCACTAGAGAAAATGTCGAACGGATCCTGAAAACCCGAAGAATCCTTGAAATTTATCAACTTTATTGCATGAAAATCTCGTCAAAAAGTGCGACCATTTTGTTTACCACTATCGACCCTTTTACTGCAAACGAACAGCAAAAGCAGAGTGTGTCTCAGAGGGTTAACTCACGTGATGAAAAGAGTTTGTTGCGAAGATACAACGCGCGCTTTGTGCTACTGTACTAATCGCTGGGCCGCTCTCATTTGCTCTTCGTCTCTCCTCCTGTCAGTTCGGCCACGAAGTATGGAGACGAAATGCGAAGAAATTGCTAAAACGATCAAGCACAGTCCGCTACGTCCAGCTGGCTTACTCTTCGACTTCTGAAGGGTCTCAAGGAGATCCCGCTAATTATATTGGTACCAATCGGATTGGTGGGTTTTGGACTTGTTGCGGAGACGTATGTCCTCCTGTGTATTCCAGAAAATATCTTCTCAGCGAAGACAGCGTCTGCTCTCCTAGAACTTTAAGTGCCGGCTCTATCAAGTACCATTCAGGTCACCGATTTTACTCGGTATTGAGAGAGATGGACCCTCCTCCAAGTCCAACTTTCCGTGGAGAACACACGTCGCTTTGTCAAGATAAACGACGATTCAGTATGAAGTACAGTTACTGCTTACCCATATCAGGACGGAAGGACACACCGTTTTGTATCGCGGGAGATCGAACTGATCTACTCAACGCCCGATCCCCAAAGTCGATTTGCTATACCAGTGTACTTCACATGTTGATGGTTGATGTGTACGAAGAGCTCAAGGCCACGGGGAACACTCCTATGATCACGTTGGAGGACTTCGACAAAAAGGGTATCACATGTTCTTCATGAAGATTTGGCGTGTCTGTGTGGCACCAACTCACCCGCTCGTAGCTCGACTCTATGACCCAAACAAATCTCTCACAAGGAACTTTGCTGTGCCGTACGTTGATCTTTACAAGATGAAGAAAATGAACGATAGTCTTTGGGATATTCAAGAATTCGTAGGCAGCAACGGACGTTTCCTTTCCGGAGATAAAGTGGAGCCATTCTCACAGGTGACGATCAATGGAATGCAGTTCGACACGGTGCATGACCCTCACTTCTTCTTGGCCGAGGCGTACGGACCGAACTACATGACACCAAAGCCGCGAAGATCCGCATGAAAGTTCTAAGGCCGTGTTCGGTTTGCAGGGGCAAATCCAGCTTGTTTGAAAATAAGCTAGAGCTGTAGAACAGTCCTTTTGTTAAGTAAAATAAAGATAAAAATAAGTGATCGTGTTCCATCAGAAAAGGCTGGATTTGAAGGCGCAAAGGAGGACGAATCAAAATTCAACCCAGAGCTGAATTTTGAAACCAGCTATCCTGCTGGATGTCATTTTTTGTGTTTCTTAGCGGAATAGAGCTGGTTAAGACAATCCAGCTTATTAATAACAATTACAGCTGGTTTTAGCTTAGATCGACAAAGAAGGTAAAAGTTTTCATTACCTCGATACGAACTATTATACAGACAATTATCCCAAATTGTGATACGCTAGGCTGGTGCTAGCATACAGGCCCAGTTTCTACCCTCCAGATTTCACTTTGTGATACAAAATCGACAGTTATCACTAACTAGAGGCACTCAGCTTTAGAGAATGTTTGTTTACGACCACGTGTCCAGCAAAGACATTTGCCTCACTTGTAACACTTTAGATGAAGTACCCGATCACTACAGGTCGCTAGCATTAGCACATACAGAGTAGGAGGCAAGTTGATGTAAGGCGCCACAGTCGGTAAAGGCGCTTTAGACACTTCTTGTATTCTCAACCCGTTCTCTTTTCCTTCCACTTTACTTAAGTATTACATTGACTTTATGACCATAGTTAGAATCAGTATAATCCGCAGTAGCTTCGTTTGTACCCAAATCTGTGGTCTCGTCTACGAATATCTTCTCTTGAAGAGAAGAGACTCCTCTAGCGTGTTAAGCAGCTCTCTATAATCACCAGGTCTTTTGTGTGCAAGCGCGACATCATCACGCATCACGACAAGTTCATCAATGATCGTCTTCAGATTCTCATATGAGCACATTTAGGTAGTCTAGAAGACCCGTGTGCTTCCAGCAGCTCACAAATACGTGTGCGGGTATGTGTAGAGTTTTAAAACTCCACGCTCCATATAAGGGCCTTGGAACACGCTCACGCTGTACAGTTTTGCAGTCGTGGTATACTCCATTGAATACAGCAGTAGCTATAAAGGTGATGGAACTCTTGCAATCGTACAGCTCTGGATTTTGATTCCTCCGGATAGTGATAAAATGTGACTTCACGACGGTATCACTACAAAGGAATAGGGAGATGAAAAACCTCGAGAGATCATCTCTCAAGGTTTAAATCTCCTCTCTCTCGCATTTAAGCCGAGAGAAACGAACTTAATCGGAGCTACTTTCTGCCTCTGGGTTGGATGATTTCTGCATTTATTTCATTGGTTAAAACGCGATCAATGCCTCCTAAGTCTTAGATGACTGCACATGACGTTTAACTGAGCAGACGTCGCAGGCATTCCTCTCTCGTAATAGCGTCCCAGAACAGTGAAGACCTCGTGGTGTATGACGAAGAATCACGCGCGGACGTATCCAGCCATAGGCTAGGAATGGCAATTGCACACGTATCAGCGCAAGCACAAGATATCGCTGAGTGTCAGGTACAGCTTCACACTAGCCAGCAGCTTCAAGCTCAGCAGCAGCAGCTGTACACTAAGTCCTGTGTTCAACAAGCACGCTATGAAGCCGAACAAAGAACCCTGGCGCTGGCTGAGATGATTCGCTCAGCTCCAATAGACCCGACGGCTGTCGAGCAGCACGTAAACACACAGCTACAGTCCGCAATTGCTGCAGCTAACGACGTCGCTCAGGCCCAAGCACGAGCTACCGTCGAAGCTCATGCTGTACACCAAGCACATGTAGCTGACGTCCGTACGACGAATACATTCCAGCGTCTTCAAGAACTGCTTTACGCCAGCATGGAGCAGTGCGTACAGGATGTTCTAAAAGCTCATGTAGAACAAGGGAGTGCAGAAATCCGACTCACAATGGCAGCACAATGTCGGGAAATTCTAAAAGGTGTTGAAGAACAGATTAACGCTATTAAGACGGATACTACAACAGCGATGGAGCAGGCAGAAACTGCTGCGGAAAAGAAAGCCAAGTCGATTGTTCGACGCCACTACGCAGATGAAAACGGAGCTCACGAGAAACTAGAAGCGAGACTATTGCAATCATTCAAAGATTACAAGCAATCGACTGCTCAAAAGCCAAGCTGTTGCGCAGCATGGAAGTGTGGTGAAGTGCTTTCTCAGAAATAAGAGAATGGGCCTGACGCGGGGTCACTATCCCGAATCAGTGACAATTTCAAGTGATTAGAGAGGATTTGGATTGTCTGGCACGGATGCAAGTTGCCTGTGGTGGATTAGCCATGACGAGCAGCACCCTGTATGGAATGACGATGGATCTGGTATGAGCAATGCACGAGAAGGCAAGATCCACCAAGACTTATCTCGGATCCACCCTTACCTGGATCCACTAAAATGGATATGGGATATACTATATAAGAGTGGATCGAGTGTGGATCCTATGAAGGAATGATGGTAGGTGCCCTCGAAAGATGGATCTAGTAACTACGACTAATGAAAAGTCAATATCCACCGCGAGGTGTCCCGGATCCCATACTTCTGCGTTCGGATCCAAGGAGGGAGGATCCCGCATAGAGGGGCCTGGATCCAGGATGCAGGGATGGTGGATGCAGTGGATCTGGAACTTTCGTGGGACAATGGAGATTACAGACGGTTGCAAGATGATGTTGGATGATTGGGGAGCTCGGATCCACGGCCAGTGTACATTTACAGTGAAGTGGATCCAAGCGACCTGGATCCGGATTAGTGTACCTATAATAGGGTGACCATAATGATTACGTCATGGATCCGGTGGATCTGAAGATAATACAGCTGGGATGATGGGTCAAGGGAAGAAGGGACATGCAGCCGAGCCTGGTAAGGGATTTAATGAGTGAAAGACATAGAAGGTAGAAATCCAGGCAGGTATAGGCTTTAAGTATCAATACAGACCTCTATTTGCACAATAACACGCAAGTGCCTTCCTGCCCTCAAGAACCGGAACTACATTGGCCGTACGAGCTCGGAGAAGGTTGGGAATTGCGAACCTAGTGTTGGTAGTGATAGCTGGATAATACATTGGCCAGATCCTACAACCTAGTGAGCTTTTCCTATACACGTGCAGATCCAACAGGCTAACCGAATTACTACTTGGTCGGTTACACCCTAGAAGATCTCAACTCTCAAGATCCCGTCACAGGAGGCGGCAAGTACAACGCAAAGGAACTACAAAGGCAAGGGAACACACCCGCAAGGCAACCCTACGACCAGATTCACGATCTAGGCCCCGGATCCATAAGCTCGAATATTCGCTTAGGATACGGAACCATCCCCGGACGCAGAGTGAAGATTTCCACTGCTGCTCCACCCCATCCCCGCGTCTCGCCAAGACACTCAAGCTTCACCACTTGAACTCTTCGGAAGCTACCGAGAGAGCAAGATCCCGCCCTACCGACGGGTACACAAGGTGAGGAAAGTTCAGCAGAACACGGATCATCGGGGGACCCCCTCCGTTAGTCGGTGTCTGGGCGCAGTTGGTAAGTTGGATATGGCAATCTCGCAGATTTTGCTTATCCCGCTACACCACAATGGTGCGCGTGCCCGGATCTTTTGGTGACTCGGGATTTCACCGTGAGTCCCAAGAAGATGCTCAAGTGAAGATTGAGCCAGGGGAAGAGGCGTCGTCGGAGGTCGGATCGACGAAGACGCTGCTGAATGAAACAAGATCCGCGGATCGATGGAGTTTTGGGAGGAACTCTGTCGACGGAAGAGAGGTGGATCCGGATCCGGATCTAGGAGAGAAACCTCTCTATCCTCCCCAGGTCCCCTCGGGGACCCCTGCGGATCTTGACGCAGGTCAAGATCCGCTAACAAAACAAGGGAAAGTGAACGCGAAACGGTATGTATTTGCAGATTCACCGGTTAAGCCAACACCGTACCTAAACCCAAGCCCGCTAGTCGAAGAAACGAGAAAGAAGACGAAAACGAGTAAGACTACGCGGAAGAAGATGCAAGCTCCAGAGGCGGAAGAAGACCAAGCTGGATCCAGGTCAAGCTGGTCCGACAAGGATCTCGAGTTTGTGTATCGCCACCAAGCTTTACGCGACTTCCTGCATCAAGATCCTGTAATGCACATCCTGATTTCTCGACAGCATCGAATACTATGAACACCGGGAATGCATCTGCGAATACGGCCAACCATCTGTTGTCCTTCCCGATCCAATAACTTTGTCAATCTATTCCGCATCGCATTTGGCGCGTCTGATCATATTATTTTCTTCAATTTACTCTTGTCTCTTTTATC